AAAAAAAAAAAAAAGAAAAGAAATAGAGCCTGTCAAAATGCCCTACCTGCAAGGAAACTAATCTTTGTACAATGGTAAGAAAATCTATTTTATGATATTGCTTCTTGTTAACTTTGGAGAACAAACTAATGAGGTTGGAAAAGTTCTTTCAGAACTCACTATTAACATACATGCCTTTTTGCTGTAATTCTACTTCTCTCCAAGGTGATATTTACATAATTTTTAACTCTTCAAAGTTGATTATAAATATGGTATCTCCTTTAGTCCTAGTGAACTACTTTTTCTACCCTATGGAGTGCTCAGAAATTTACATCAGAATTTTAAGCTTTGGTAACCAAATTTATTTCAGCATAGTTTACAATGAAAATAAAAAATAAGTCTTACAGATGTCATGAAAGCAAGATCTAAGTTTTCACAGGGGGTTCACATTTTAAATGCTCCTTATCCAGCTTCAATTTGTTTAATTGAAAAGTCTAAACAGAACTGCAGCTTCATAAGATTTAGCAACTATCTGGACCAACTCAATCCCTATCTAACCTGGGCAGGCTAAAGGTACTCTTTGTTCCTTATTCACTCCGATTTTAATTAACAATAACTTTTAGTAATAATTCAGAAAAGACACCCCACTCAGTTTCCCTTCTATCTTCAGCTTGTGACTTAAAACTGCATTTTGGGCCATCAACTTCCCAATTCAGCAAAGCCATTACCCATTACCCTACCTTCTAAGTACATCAAAAGCAACACAATTTATCAGACAAAATAATTAACCAACAACAAGCCGCAGAGTAATATTTTTCTCACAACTGAACAGCAGTTCTTACCTTAGTTGTTTGCTCAAAAATAATTGAGTAAGTAATCTTCTGGTGTATCTTTGGCAAGCCAAATTTTCTACTTTGCTTTCTAGGTGAGGTTATAAAAGTCCCAGGAAAAGAAACCAGAAGACCAAGCCTAGAAATGCAAAATCTGATTCAAGCTAAGCCACTCTACTAGTGCCCTAGGTGTTTGAATCCAAGTATAAATCACTTAACTACCCTTCCCCCACTCCCCGAGCACCGGTTCAATTTCCCCACCCAAATGGCGATAACACACTGAGGAGGTTTAAAAGAGATAAGAAGAGTACTCTGAAATATCTCAAGGCTCTACGAAACGAAATAATCAGTATTGAAAGGACTCTTAATTTCTTTGCAAAACTTAAAGGGTCACCTCGTCGCTTACAGAAAGAAAAATAAATAAATAAAAGAGGTAAGCACAAGCAACCTGAAACGGTACTAGAACATTTTCCAGAACTCCAAGCGGGGATGATTAGCAGTTCTGGCGGGTAGTCACAGGAATGACAATCCGAGCCCAACGTAGCTGCTCCCGCTCTCGCCCCCACACGAGAGAGAGAGGCGCAGAGATCAAAATCCAACCCGGTTCCACACAACCCTCGCAGCTAAAGGGATATGGGGAAGGTCTGAGGAGGAAGGCTGGGCGCAATGCTACCACCTCCGACGGGGCCACTCCTTGCGCCACCAGCGCCCCTGCCCACGGTGCCACGTCCCGGCCTCCGTCACCACCATCCCTCACCCCACCCCGGGATGGAGGCACATCCCCCGGAGGCCACCGGGCTCGTTCCTTTGAAGGCGCCCCTGGGGCCACACCTCGGACCAGGGCACCAAGGAGGCAGTTACAGCGGTTGGAACAGTTGCCCCAGACTGGGCGTACCAGAATCCGGCCCTAGCCCGGCCCGTCGGGGCCTCAGACACAGCCCCCGGGCCGGGCAGACTCCCCAAGGGCAGGCCTCGGCGCCACCCCCCGACTAGGTCCCCTCTGGATCGTCCCCGCATAGCAGGCTCACCTCCACCGTGTCAAAAGCGCATGTTCGCCGCCGCTCGACCAACGTCTCTGCTCCTCTGGCCTGGCCAGGCCCACCCAGCCGCTCAGCTCTGCTCCGCTCCGCAGCCCCGAGCCCCACTCCGCGCACCTCCACGCCCGGCTCCTCCCCGACACGTCAGGAGCTCCCTGGGTGTCGGAGGCCATTCTGTGACGCCAGGGGCGGAGTTCGGAGCATGCGCAGGAGTGCGCAAGCGGCGGGGCGGGGCTGTGACTGGGCTGCGGCTGGGCGGGGGTCACACCTGGCCGCGGAAGCCCGGCGCACTGACGTCAGGCTGGCGCCGTCCTTCTGCGCAAGCGCCTCCAGACCCCATGATGGGCGGGGTCTTGGCCTCTGCGGTTCCCTGTCGGTAGGAGACGGTAGTTCTACCGGGCGTGAGGACGTTCTTCCAGTTTTTTGGTCGGGAAGCCTTAAAAGTGTGCATGTTTATAAAGCGAATCTCGGCTCATTTTTCACCCCCAAGTCCACTCAGAACCACCCAATAGAACACTGGGAGCATTCTCTTTCCTTATCACTCTCACGAAAACCTGTGTTTTCACAGTGCTTCCACTAGCTGAAATTCTTTTTTTTGTTTTTAGAGACAGAGTCTCACTTTGTCGCCCTCGGTAGAGTGCCGTGGCGTCACAGCTCACAGCAACCTCTAGCTCTTGGGCTTAGGCAATTCTCTTGCCTCAGCCTCCCAAGTAGCTGGGACTACAGGTGCCGCCACAACACCCAGCTATTTTTTGTTGCAGTTTGGCCGGGGCTGGGTTCGAACCCACCACCCTCACTATAAGGGGCCAGGCCCACACTAGCTGAAATTTTATACTTGTTCTTGTCTTCGCTGAAGAGGAAGGCTGGGTGCAATGCTGCCACCTCCGACTGGGCCACTCTGCTCCACCAGCGCCCCGCCCACGGTGCCACGTCCCAGCCTCCGTCACCACCATCCCTCACCCCACCCCGGGATGGAGGCACGTCCCCCGGAGGCCACTACTGGAGGCAGTGCCCATAGCTCAGTGGGTAGGGCGCTGGCCACATACCTGGTGCTGGGGCTGGCGGGTTCAGATCCCACCCGAGCCAGCTAAAATAAACAATGACAACTGCAACAAAAAAATAGCCAGGCATAAGAGTTGGAGGTTACTGTGAGCTGTAACGTTACAGCACTCTACCGAGGGCAACATAGTGAGACTATGTCTCAAAAAAAAATTTTTTTTAAGTTCTGTGGGATCTAGAACTTCTTAGGCCTTGCTTTTCACAACAGATAGCTTTGTTGTAGGTAGAGTGGGTGCTCAAATATTTGATGAATAAATGAATGATTCCTTGGTGGCACGAAGGGATTTTAAATATGTCCACTTATGTTTTATGTATCTGAGCATCCATTCATTTAAATATACACGTGTGTGCATACACGCAAATATATGTATAAACATATAAATATATGTTAAATATATATAGGTATTCCCCTAGGGGACTTGGAGAAGGAAGGTAGCTAGAGAAGGTACCAGATCAAAAAGGAGAAAAATAGGGATGGACAACCGCTGAGGAAATGGAAATTTGAAGAAACCCATTTTAAAAACTGTATTAGGGCCAGGTGCTGTGGCTCAGGCCAGTAATCCCAACACTTTGGGAGGCTGGGGAGCATCATTTGAAGTCAGGTATTTATGACTAGCCTGGACAACATAGACCCCCCCCCATCTCTACCAAAAAAAATAATTTGTTTTAAGTTCATGGAAAATGTGTATTATGAAAAAAAATGCATGCATTTCAAATTTTTTTTTTTTTGAGACAGAGCCTCAAGCTGTCCCCCTGGGTAGAGTGCCATGGCATCACAGCTCACAGCAACTTCCAACTCCTGGGCTCAAGTGAGTCTCCTGCCTCAGCCTCCCAAATAGCTGGGACCACAGGCACCCGCCACAACGCCTGGCTATTTTTGGTTGTAGCCATAATTGTTGTTTGGTGGGCCCGGGCTGAATTCGAACCCACCACCTTAGGTGTACGTGGCTAGTGCCTTAGCCACTTGAGCCACAGGTGCTGAGCCAAAAGTAGAACTTTAAATGGACATTTTAAACAAGTAGGCTGGGTGCCTGTAGCATAGTGGTTACGGCACCAGCCACATACACCAAAGGTGGCGAGTTCAAACCCAGCATGGGCCAGCTAAAGAACTACAACAACAACAAAAAAATAGCCAGTATTGTGGCAGGCACCTGTAGTTCCAGCTGGAAGGCTGAGGCTAGAGAATTGCTTAAGCCCAAGAGTTGGAGGTTGCTGTGAGCTGTGACACCACAACACTCTACTGACAGAGTGTTTAGTGACACTCTGTCTCAAAAAATAAAATAAAAAAGAAACAAGTAGGATCAAGATCCTGAAGCATTTCTTCAAAGAATTGTACCAGGAGATGAAATCTGGCCCTACCTGTATGGTCCCAAAGAAAAAGCACAATCAAAGCAATGGCTACCAAGAAGTAGAAGTGTCCCGTCAAAACAAAAGTGGACTGATCAGGAGCAAAGGTCACGGTAACAGTTTTTGGGAGGATGCTCAAGGCAATTTGCTTTTTAACTTTCTGGAGAGCCAAAGAATGATAACATCTGCTTATGATGGGAGTATTTTTGAGAAAGTTAGCCAAAACTTTAGCAGAAAAATGCCCAGGCAAGCTTCACTGGAGTCTTCCTTCACCATAATAATGCTCCTCTCCTATTCATTTCTCTCATCAATAAAGGGCAATTTTTCAAGAGTTTTGATGAGAAATCACTAGGCATCCACATTCAGTACTGATTTGGCTCCTTCTTCTTTTCATTTCGTAATCTTAAAAAATCTTTAAAAGAGGCAGGCTCAGTGTCTCATGCCTATAATCCTAGCATTCTGGGAGGCCAAGGCAGGTAGATTGCTGGATTTCAGGAGTTGGAGACCAGCTAAGCAAGAGTGAGACCCCCATCTCTACTAAAAATGAAAAACTAGCTAGGCATGATGGCATATGCTTATAGTCCTAGCTATTCAGGTGGCTGAGGCAAGATGATTGCTCAAGCCCAGAGTTTGAGGTTGCTATGAGCTGTGACGTCATGGTACTTTATCCTGGGCAATAGAGTGAGATTCTGACTCAAAAAAAAAAAAATCTTTATAGGATACCTATTTTTCTTCACTTAGTAGAGAAAGACTACAATAACATGGTTAAATTCCCAGGATGGACCAAATGGCTGCTATAACAACTTACAAAAGTGTCTTGAACTTGTGTTCAAGAGAGAAGGAGCTGGGACCTTGTGTTAAGAGGACGGGAAGCTTGTGTTAAGAAATAAAGTTGGCTCGGCGCCTGTGGCTCAAGTGGCTAAGGCGCCAGCCACATACACCTAAGGTGGTGGGTTCGAATCCCCAGCCCGGGCCCGCCAGACAACAATGATGGCTGCAACCAAAAAATGGCCAGGCATTGTGGC